TAAGCAATCCTGAAAAATATTTGGGGGTGCTTAACTTTTTTCCAGGTGTATATAAATATAATGGTACTGTCTGTTGTATGTCCATGTAACTACTTCGCAGGGTGTGGATGTATTTTCACCACATTTAGCATGAAGATTTGTTGGGTCCATGCGGAGATACATGCAAATATGCGGTTTCACATTTTGTATTTTGCAGTTTTTATGGGCGTTTTTCACAATTTCATATAAAGAAAGCAACTTTTTATGTCTTAAGATAACCTTTCATTAATCATGAATTTACATAGCTTCCGGTCAGGGGACGGGTATTCCAGCTAGTATTTAATACCCTTACGCTTGTGTGTCGTGAACTTTTTTCAATCAAACGCTACAATTCTCGTATCGTTAGAAAGATTTTTTGTCCAAGGAGCCCGGATTGTTCCTTCAGAATTACTTTATCTGTTCTTGCTTAGTCAAACTTTTCAATGCAACGAGTATGGTACGCGTTGTCGTAACGTGACGACTTGTTTTGTTTTTTGCAAAGTATTTCACACAAACAAACCATATGTAATTTCCAAAAAAAAATTAACATCACACCAAATACACCATTTTATGGGTTTCCTCGACATATTTAACCCTAAGATGCGCATTTCGGTTAAACCCATACGCTTATCACTTTGTGAACATGCGTTTAGACGTTTCTGCATATTCAGCTAAGTTTGCTTACCTACGTAACTACTTTGCAGTACTTTATCGACGTTTCGTTTCATAGACTGCTATAAACACATTTTAGCTACTTCTTTTTCTTTTTTTTACAACGAGTTTAATTCTTAATTTTTAACATAACAATGTTTTGAGACAACAAGGGAGGACTTGTTAGACCATCTCGGCTGTCCCATCCTCTAAACTAAAATTTGTAAATAAATTAATTTTTAAAAAATCTTAAAGCCAGACCTTATCATTCATGAAGTTATCGAGGTTTCTTTTAAAATCATTTAAATTTACTGCCTCCACAACATCAGAAGCCAACCTATTCCAAAGGCCAACCATCCTGTTAGAAAAATAAAACTGTCTTAGCT